AAACAAACAGACTCTTCAGCTTTATAATATTAGTATAGATAATTTTACTTTTAATAATTACTTTACAGGAATCGCTAAATGGAGCCACATCAGACAATTCTATGAACTGGACAATAATAATCCCAATTTTGTTTATGCACCACTCTTAACTAAAGAACACGTTGACCCCAATACCAAGCAAAAAATGAGGGTAAAACTTGCAGCACAAGTTTTAAGCCACTCAGTTGCAGCAGGAATATTTTCCAAAATAGCTAAAGGTAAGAGACATCTTTAATAGTCATGGTCCAACTCATTTATACACACACATCATAATTATTATGCATGATACGTATGCACGTTTAACAACAAGTCTTACAAATTCGTTTCAACAGTATGAAAATGTGGGGTTGTCTCTTTTATAAATGGTGAAACTATTTAATAATTATATTGTCATATTATATTGTACTTATATTGATTTAATTTGTTTATTGTGAATTTTCAGGAGACATGCCGACTGGAGCAGTGGCAACGGGTAATTTAATTAAAGACATGGATGAACTGTTTGATGGAGTAAACGCGTCGACATCAGATTTAAGAAGAGGAAAAAAATTTTCCACAAATATAAAAAAAACCACAGAACATCTGCAAATGTTCAATAAAATGAAATATTTTTTTAAAACCTCTGAATTTTTGGGATGCAGGGGTAATCCACCATCAAAAAATGGGTGGATCTGGACCCTCAATGGGATAGAAACGATTTGGAGAACCCTTAGTACCAAATATAAATCCATCAAAAGTCTGTCTACAAGAAGACTCCAGCAAGACCCGTTGGAAAATTTATTTGGTTGCATACGCTACAATTGCGGGTCCAATAGCAACCCGACAGTTGGACAATTTGTTGCTGGCTTAAAAACTGCTGTAATGAGCAACATGGCACACACTAGCTCAGGGAATTGTGAGCTGGATAGCAACAGTGCTATTATATCAAATTTTAAAAAATTGCTGACATCATCTGCAGACATATGTACTGATACAGAGCAATCCGAACATGTAAAGGAAATAGTAAAAGAAATTGAAGAAAGTATAACTTCCTCTCTCGAAGAAAACTTGGAGGAAGGAAGTAGCGAACTACAAGCATGTGCATATGTCTGTGGCTTCATTATTAAAAAAATAAAAAATAATTGTAATAAGTGTATGAAAATTCTAGTCTCCGAAACGCCAGAGGGAGTGCATAATTTTATAGAGTTCAAAAATTATGAAAATCCAAAACAATCGCTTACATACGCCTCAAAGAATTTAATAGCTTGTGTAGAGAAAAGTGCAAGCATAATAAATATATTTTTAGAAAGAGAGGCGTATAAAGAGAATATTAAAGTGAAAATAACACAAACATTAAAGGACTCTATAAATTATGATTTTCTCGAAGATTGCGTGGAGCACAAAGAATTAAATATAACATACATAATCAATAGTGTCTTCCACATTACAATTAAGAGGTACTGTATCCTAAAAAACAGAATGTTTTCTGAAGAGGCGAGTAAATCAGCATTAAAAAGAAAAATGCACATAATTATGCATAAATAAATGTACAACTAGCACTGCCCATGAATTCATCAGCCTGAATTTTAGACTTTTTCATTTTGAATGATGAAATAATTTTTTTTTTTTTATGAATTTTATTATATTCTATGATGATCATGCTTATGTTAAATGAGCTAAGGTTTTAATAATCTGCCTAAAAAAAATTTCAGGTTTTAAATTGTTGCTTTAATGCTGGCCTTAATATATGCGCTTCAGTTTGTGACTTGGATGGAGTCAACAAGAAAGCTCTGTGTCTATTAGGAGCTTCTGTAGAGAATCCCTATATAGAAGTGAGAACATCAGACAACAAACAAGGAATTGGTAAGTCATTGTTATTTAGTTTAAAAAAAGTGTTTAATAATATGTATGTAGTTTATACTTAATAATTTTACTTTTAATAATTACTTTACAGGAATCGCTAAATGGAGCCACATCAGACAATTCTATGAACTGGACAATAATAATCCCAATTTTGTTTATGCACCACTCTTAACTAAAGAACACCTTGACCCCAATACCAAGCAAAAAATGAGGGTAAAACTTGCAGCACAAGTTTTAAGCCACTCAGTTGCAGCAGGAATATTTTCCAAAATAGCTAAAGGTAAGAGACATCTTTAATAGTCATGGTCCAACTCATTTATACACACACATCATAATTATTATGCATGATACTTATGCACATTTAACAACAAGTCTTACAAATTCGTTTCAACAGTATGAAAATGTGGGGTTGTCTCTTTTATAAATGGTGAAACTATCTAATAATTATATTGTCATATTATATTGTACTTATATTGATTTAATTTGTTTATTGTGAATTTTCAGGAGACATGCCGACTGGAGCAGTGGCAACGGGTAATTTAATTAAAGACATGGATGAACTGTTTGATGGAGTAAACGCGTCGACATCAGATTTAAGAAGAGGAAAAAAAATCCACAGAACAGAACATTTTTTACATTTTTTTATATTTGTGGAAAAATGATAATCAGGAGATAGTACTATTTGCGGATGACACTTCACTGTTATTTAAACTTAAACGACAGCAATCAGTAACTGATGACGTGATTAGCACTCTCTCTAAGGTTGTAAACTGGTTTAATGTTAATAATTTATTTTTAAACGAGAATAAAACGAAATGTATTAGATTTTTTACACCTAATGTTAAACAGGTAAAGACCAATGTTCTAATAAATGGAAAGGAGTTGAATCTTGTGGACACCACCAAGTTTTTGGGTATAACACTAGACTCTAAATTGCAATGGGGCCCACACATTGACGGATTGTCGAATAGACTTAGCTCTGCAGCATACGCGGTTTACAAAATTCGTCAATTAACCGATGTAGAAACAGCTAGACTGGTGTATTTTAGCTATTTTCATAGTGTAATGTCATACGGTATTTTGTTGTGGGGAAATGCTGCTGACATTCAAAGTATCTTTGTGTTGCAAAAGAGAGCTATTCGTGCAATTTATAATCTTAGTTATAGGCAGGCACTGAGGGATAAGTTTAAAGAAATTGGTATCATGACAGTCGCATCTCAATATATATATGAAAATTTAGTGTATGTAAAGAAAAATAATCATTTATTCACAAAGTTTAGCGACATGCATAAAATAAACACTAGAAATAAAGATAAACTCGTGTTACCAACCACTAGACTACAAAAAGTAAGCAAGTCTTTTCATTGTCAGGGTGTGCGATTTTACAATAAAGTGCCAAGCAAATTCCATGAATTAAGTATTAATAAATTTAAGTCTTTAGTAAAGCTAAAACTATGTGAAAAGGCTTACTACACTATTACAGATTATTTAGCCGACAAATTTGCTTGGGATTGATGCTGCTCACTCCCACATTTACGTAGACATCTTTGTTGTTAAGTTTGAAAGTGATGGACATTTAATTATTATTTTTTGGTGTATTTCGTATTTTGTTTTCGTATTTTATTTTTCGTTGACTTTGAACTGTGTAGTATTTTTTTATTTTTTGTGTAAGTATGTAAATGTGAGTACAGTGTAGGCTTGTAATGTTAATTAATTTTTTATTATCTTTCTGGTGGTTTTGAGTGTTTCCACGGCCTACCCAAATGTCCTGCTGGCGGTAGTGTCATGCTTCGGGTCGTTGATCTTGACCAATATCGGTTAGGCTACACGATGGCTGGAGCCTGTATGCCGTCTGTATGGACAGGTTGACTCAAAACTATGATCCTTTCCTCAAAAGGCCTATCCAGACCCTATACTGTACTCGCACAGTTTTAAATAACTTTGTTTACGGACTTGACACCTCTGTGGTTTGTTTCGGTGTTTCTTCCCAGAGTGAGTCTTAGGAAATGCCGGCTCCTTCTATAAAGTCCGACTTGTAAAAATATCTGAAAAGATTTACTTACAGAAATAAATATCATTTCATTTCATTATAGGCTGATTATGCTTTATTTATTATTTTACAACTTGTTTTATTAATGGACGATAGTGTAGCTAAATTGGTCAGATCTGTCTACCTTCAACAAAAATAATAAGTATCTCTCTTGTTAACCATTTCTTTATTTATTTTATTAAACTAAAATAATACATATTATATAATATTATGATATATGTCTGTAAAGTGTAAACTTGTGTTTGACCTTGTCTAGGTTTTTGATGTTAAAATTGTATGCAATAGACCATATGGTCGAAGATGCTTGCTGTATTTTCAAATTGTATGTATTATCTCATTTTTAGAATATTATGTTTAATTTGTGTTTAGATTAAGCGACAAATTTTGTGATTAATTATTATTACATACACGCCATGTCAGAGGCCTGTGGGATTCCCAGAGGCGACTTAATAAGCTCTGACACTAGAGGGTGGCCACAACACACGCAAAAAAATTACATACACATACTTGTGAACACCTTTTGTCCCAAATGAATATATAATCCAAAAACACATTTATTCATGTAAAATTAGTATATAGTTGCTTATAATATGAATATCTGATAAATTATAATGAATATTATGCTAAATAAAAAAGTCAAATACTAATGTTTCTTTTATTACACTGTTCCATAAATATTGCTTTCAGCATTTTATGCACAAGTACAGTGTGTTTCTCGATAGTGATGTTTAGATGTCAATTGTTTTTGCTGAGAAATAATTGACCATCTTGATGAACACTATCGAGAAACGCACTGTACTTGTGCATAAAACGCAATACAAAGTATCTGTTTTGAAATTCCCGCCCTAGCTTCTACTGTCTAGTTTTGGTGGGCGGAGCATAGATGGCGCCGGCCGGTAAGGAAAAATTTCCTCATAAAAATAGTATGGAGTCGTTATTCTTCCCCTTTAGGGGTATATATGTTCTGTGCATGGAATGGAGTTCGCTGTCATAGGTTAAGGTTATGTTGATGTATTGTTTTAAAGAAACACAATTATTATTTATTTTATAGAGAACGGTTTCAAAAAATATGTCCCAGCCAGATATATCGAAACCTGCGGGTAAAAGTTGGCGAGAAATAAATCAAGAGAGGAAAGCTTTAAAACGTCAACGAAATGAAGAGAAAATAGTGAAGCGTGAGAAAAAAGCTGCACTGGATCGTGAAGTGGAAGCAAAAAATCATGAGGAAATTGAACGGGAAAAGAAGTACTCCGAGATATCGACTATTAGTATCGCTGTCCCAGGTTCTATACTTGAAAACGCTCAATCTGCCGAACTCCGGACTTATTTAGCCGGTCAAATAGCGCGAGCAGCTTGCGTGTTTTGCGTAGACGAAGTTATTGTGTTTGATGATATTGGTGATAAGTTGAACACTAAGAAGTCAAAGTTGGACGATGCTGACGGAGTCAAAGTGGCTAGAAAAAGCTGCGTTCAATTGGCCCGTATCTTGCAATATTTGGAGTGTCCACAGTACTTGAGAAAACATTTTTTCCCTATACATAAAGACTTAGAATTTGCAGGATTACTTAATCCATTAGATGCACCACATCACTTGAGAATGTCAAATGATTTTCAATTTAGGTGAGAAAATTCAAAATTCATTCAAGTTTTCATTAATTCTCTTTCATGTTATCATTTTTCGTTTTAAATGATTACATTCTATTATTATATTTAGACACCACTATAATATTATGATATTAATATTATTTCTGTATGAATAAACCTATATCTCTCTAGTAAATTCAATACTACGAATATGTAAATATCTTAATATGTTATTTTCAAATTAAGCCTTTTTAAATATAAACAAACTATGGTTAAAGGCTTTTGACCATAAAGAAGTCCTAATGATGATAATACTAATAAGCTATTATTTCATACATTTTCAGAGAAGGTATAACTATGAACAAAAAAGTGAAACCAGGCAAGGGTTCTCAAGTCAATGTGGGGCTTCTTCAAGATATCTCTACAGATAAACTTTTGAACCCGGGCTTAAGAGTTACAGTTCGAATGTTACCTGCACAAGATGGGAGCAAAAAGATCAAAGGGAAGATAGTCAGCCTGACCACACCAAGGGCTGAAACAGGAGTATATTGGGGCTATACAGTCAGAATAGCAAATAATTTGAGTCAAATCTTTACACAGAGCCCTTATAAAGACGGGTGTGTATGTCTAGTGAACTTTTTAATCTTTTATTCGGAAAAATGGTTGTAACCTGTGGCTTGCTTGCTTAGTTCACCCAATTATACTTTATAATTATACTACTAATAAAATAATAACCTTTTGTCCACCAGACCATAAAGATATGGACCATCTTTTCATTGCATTAGTACCTAATAACATAGAGAATGGTTACCTTATGATAACCTTTTAAGTAACATTACAAATATTGGCCTTTGAACCAGCCTCTTGGCAACCTGGGCCTCAATTCTGCTATTTTATGTTAATGCCAAGCCATTGTCATTCAAAATCATCGTCATAATTCTTTATGCTGCTACTATCCTATTCAATACAGAAATACAAGGATTCTTATATTTCAGGTATGATTTGACTATTGGCACATCAGACAGAGGAGCTCCAATAGATGACATGCCAAATAAAGGATTGAAATACAATCATGCACTCATAGTGTTTGGTGGCTTACATGGGATTGAGGCTGCTTTAGAGGGTGATGAGCAAATACAAGCAGAGGAACCAAGCTTACTCTTCAACCACTATGTAAATGTATTGCCTAACCAAGGGTCTAGAACAATACGAACAGAAGAGGCAATACTTATAGCCTTGTCTAGTTTCAGGACTAAATTACAACCTAATAATGAGCCAATGGTTTTCTCTGGCACGGGTATAGCTGTAAGTTCGTCATTCCCTGCATCTAAAGTAGAAGCTGAGCATTCTACAGTTGAAAACCGCTTAGATTTAAGAAGATTTGACTAATATACAACTATGAAATCAAAATAAGCTTTATTTTCAAATACAAAAATATTCTTAAAGTATTGAAGACTTTAGGTCATATTCAGTGGTCTGATTTTAAGGCAAAAATAATTTTTTTATTAATTTTAATACAATTTGACATACCTACATAATAAGTAAACATTTGCTTCTAAAAGCAAGAGTAAGTATTCTTATTTTAACCTAAATTATCTAGCAACAGCAAAAATGATAAGAAGCTACTGGGCAATTGAATAAAAAAATGTAAACAACTACCTTAAAATACATTAACTGTTAATTGTATATGTACTTAATTTGGTAAATGGTACATGTAATGTTTCTAAAAAAATCTTTTTTCTTCATTGAATTTCAACATATGGCAGAAACAATTGCATACCTACTTAATCGGTATTTACTACATTAAAATTATTGATATATTTTTCTTTAAAATCAGCAATCACCATTCTGCTGTAGGATAAGGAATTTATAGTTTATCAATAGCTTCTTGTACTGTGTTTCGTAGGAGTTTGATAGTTGCTGCTTGATCTGCTGCACCAATAACTGCTGTTCCAGACACTATCATGTTAGCTCCAGCCTGGGGAAAATTGATTATCCACTATTAGGAATTGAAATGTATATTACAAAAATCTAGGCAGCTTTACCACCTACTCATTTTATTGATTTTCAAATTTTTTAATATAGGTCTCTTGGCAGAGCAGTTGTTGTCACATTTATAAAATTGTTCAACATTTATTCAAATTGTCAACAATAAGAAATGGTTCTTTTTCAAATAAAATATTATGAAAAAAAAAAACAAACAAAACCCGTGACCCTTCTAGTTAAGTTGTATCATCATCAACTGCCTTAACTAGTCCTCTGCTGGATATAAGCCTCTCCTTGGAAAGGAGGTTTTGGCCTCCTATACCAGACGGGTATAGGGTTTGTTCAAGTTTTCCTTCTCTTTGTAATGCTGTTGACCAATTAGTCGGTGGATGTCGAGACATTGGAGTCACGGGATAAATAGGTTTTGTGATACTGCCACCACAAATTTGTGACATAAGTTTAAACAAACAAAATTAAATCTTACATTTGCACAACAACTAATTGTAGAAGGTCCTACACCACCATCAACTTCAATATTCAGCAGCGGATAATGTTCCCTTAAATATTGTACTTTAACCATTTGGTTTTCCATAAATTTCTGGCCACCAAAGCCTGGTTCCACTGTCATTATGAGCACCATGTCTGACATTGAAATGTATTTTTCTACTTCTGAAACTGGTGTGCCTGGTTTGATTGCTAGACCTACCTGTAAAATAAATAAAACAAATGTGTACTGGTAGGAGATCTGATTGTATTACAATATGCTAGAATGATTAAATTCTAGCAATAGAACTGACTCATTACATCATTGCTTTGCAAATAAGTAGTAGCTAGTAAAGATATTTGAGATTTATCACTAATTTTATAAATTATTAGCAACATATGTTTAACTTTAGTGAGATATATTTTTCCATAATAGAAGAGGGAAGGGGGCTGGAAGGGGAATAATAAGGGAGAAGTTTTATTACTGCTTGCAATTTTACAGCTGTTTGCATGATTGTGAAGTCAGTTATAGTGGTCTATTACATGTAAGTATTTATTTACTGCATTCTGAGATCCAAATGGAAGTAGTGAATATTTACGATTTCATTTTACAGTGTCTATCAGAGGGGTGGCATGTGAAGAGTTAATAATAAAGTATGTACATATAAATATTAATGTTACAAAATTTAAAATTGGGTCGACCTTACCTTCATGCCATATTCCTTTATTTTCCTACACAATTCTGGTATATTGTCAACTGGTTCAATATGGAAAGTGTATTGGTTTACTCCAGCATCAGCCATTGGAGCGATCCACTGAAAAATATTAAATTTTGTGTTAACTCTACATTTTCAAAACTAGTTTTATTCTATGTAATTACAAGCCTTAAAAAGTATTAAAAAAAAACAAAATAAAGCCAAAAAGTTACTAACTTGTTCAGGATTAGAAACCATCATGTGAGTTTCAAAAAAGACATCTTTAATTTTATTCCGAAGGCATTTTACTACAGGATGCCCTAACGTTAGATTGGGTACAAAATGACCATCCATAACATCTAAATGCAAGTAATCGGCACCATTATCAAGTAGTTTTTGAGATTCCTCGTATAACCTCGATAAATCTGAGTTTAATATTGATGGCCCGATCATTGCTTGTAACCGACGTGCCATGTTGATTTACCAGTTAAAATGATCTTCGGATATACAGAATACACAGTCTAACTTAATTTTTCTATTCATATAAGGTGACAGAGAGGTTATCTGTTATTAAACTTATCACTAACGTAACGTTCGTAACTTGCGGACCTGACATTCAACAAAAACAAACTGGCAAACAGATTATACACAAAGTTGAGAGTTGAGAACATCAACCACATGCAATAGCTAAGTGACAAGCCAAACTGTAAAAATGTTTACATCGATGTTTTTGAAATAAAACTTCTAATTAAATATATTGTGATAGGCTATTTTTATTAAATAAGTTATTTTTGAATTGAAACTTACTTAGGCGCGTAGGGCATTTTTGAAGAACAAACCAAAGAATATATTTTTTGAGATCGGAAAAAACCATTGAACTAGCGACACTGTTACCGTTACCTCTGTAAATAAGTATCTACATATATTGGCCCGTTTACACGAGAGTCGAGTTTTTGTTAAAATACATTGATAATATAATTTAACATAATGTTGTATATATGTATAACATAGTCACTCACACATACCGTCGGAATTCGTGACTTATTCATATCGGAATTTTTTGAATCGAGAAAAACAAATAATTTTCTAAATTACACTTCTGTTGGCACTCCCGGAGTGCTACTGTTTTTTTTTCATTTGCATAGGTTGAGCATAATTGAAGCAAGAGCATTATATCTCGTAATGATGCTGTTCCACCTGCGCCACAAAGTGTAAATCAAGGCCACATAGATGTGGCCAAATGGTTTCGTGTGAATTTATTATTATTACTAATGCTATTGCTGATCTAGCATATAAATGATAAAATTGTAAATTAATTATTACAATTTACACACACAACAGTGGTTAAAGTGGTGGTAACCCACTAAGAATAATTGACTATTCATGACAATATAATAGTATACGAAAATAATTATTATAAAAGATTTTTAAAATAAAAATAATCGGAAAAATACTAAGTGCTACAATATAAAAGGTCTAATAAATCGCTTCATCCATACTAATCCATGCTTCCGTACTAATATTATAAATGCGAAATTGTGTCTGTCTGTTACCTCTTAAACTGCTGAACCGATTTACATGAAATTTGATATAGATAGTCCGAGTCCCGGGAAAGGACATAGGGCCGAAATCATCCTTTAATATATAATTCTGTGGTAATCCACAGAACTATATATTAAAGGATGGGTTATGTCCGCTGTAATAGTGCCATCCTCAGCAATTTATTTATCCTAGGTATTTGAACTTATTTACTCTTGTTAACTTTAGTTCAATATGTGTTGTGCTAGATTTGTCAGGGCCGAAGTTGAAAACCATGGACTCGGTCTTAATTCTACTGATGTGTAATCCGCCTGACTCTAGGGATATCCCACCCACCCAAATATTTTATATAGGTACATATTAATGTTTATTAAATCTTACATATCAAGAAATTGATTACAAATAGACGTAGCTTAATAACTACGAAGAACTACTTCTCATGCAAGATACATTTACAACCGTACTTATTTTAATAAATACTAAAATTACAGTACTTGTGAATATGTAACTTTGAAGCCTACTGCTTCAATTTTAATTTAACTATCTTTTGAATTCTGCGTCAGATACCATCTACTGTTATTGAATCATTTGGGTTAAATTAGGTTAGAACAGTTACCATTATTGGTGACCAGATCCCCTCCATTGTTAGTTAATCATTTGGGTTAGATGAGATTATAACAGTATGAAGTATATTGCAGTCAAAAGTACCTACTTTTGTATGATTTTTGTTAAAAATAATTTAAGACCGGTTAAGAGTTCTCACTGTAAAATAATAAATATATAAGAGACTTTACGATATAACCCATGGTATAGTATACTTTATTGGTGAAATAAAATAGAAGGCACCTACTTTTACATACAACATTTATAGCTTAGGCAGAATCTAAACCATCTAGACTGACTCTTTGAAGCGTACATAATTTTGACCAGTAAACTTTACCTTAGATATATCAATGTTGACTACAAAGAAAATATTATTTATTGGTCTTTCTTTACAATTAGTTATAAAATGTACAACAAAGGATTATTGCAGTCCCGTATTTTGTAATAACAGTCGACAACATACTCTATGCAAATACCAGGTAAGATACACTATGTTTCATAGAACTGTTTGTAGATAAAAATATTAACAAGATTTTATTATATAAATATATTTCCTTGACAATTAAAGAAGTTTGTAAAAAAATCATAACTCAACATTTACTTTAGAGATTTTTAATTAACACGTTTTTATTGGTTTGGGATGGATGTATGTATGTATGTATGTATCTTTGAACGTAATTTTGACCCACTTCAAAACGTCGAATTAAATTGAACCTTCGCACATTTATCAAGGACCAATGACAATATGTACATTAATTTGATAAATTTGGCCTATTATCCTGATCAGGATATTTAGGATTAACGGCTTTTCCATGCTCAAAAATACGGTAGTGTCCTTTGGTACGTACTAAGAGGCGCGCGAGCGCTGGAGCATATGTGGCTTACTTACTTGTTGCGCTCTTGGTGTTAATGAGAAAATAATTATCATTAATGACTAGAAAGCAATAAATTATATTTAAAAAAAAACAAAAAAAACGCTTACATTAGCCGAAATAAAAAGTAGAAAATAATTATCTATATGTTCAAAAAGATAAATAATTTTATCGCAAAAACGCGTGAGGTGCTTTTCAAGATATTTTATAATTTAATAAATTTACTCAGAATAAAATAAAATAAAATATTGTACAACAATTTAGATTAAGCACCCCACGCATTTTCACCATGAAATGATTTTTCTTTTTGAACTTATAGAAAAATATTTTCTACTTATTAATTCGGCTAGTCACAAAAGCGTGTTTTTTAATATTTTTAAACGTGATTTATTATGGTCGATGATAGATGGCTGTTACAAAAGAAAATTAAAATAGGCTTAGCTTTAAAGTAACGTTTAAAATTGTTATTAAACATTTTTTATCCTAATAATTATAGGAAGTCAATATACTCTGTTTACAGATAGAAAGCAAAATATACACTCAGAAATTTTATATTTTACAGTCTGAAGAACCAGCTAGTACTTGCTTATCTTACGAGCGAACAATTCTTAACGATAATGACAGACGCCAAATAGTAGATAAAATAAATAACCGGCGAAACAAGGTAGCAGCTGGTGAAATCAGATCACTACCGCCAGCAGCTGGTATGATGAAATTGGTAACGCTCCTAACTTTTTTAAGATCGTCGGTCGATTATCTCGGTGTATTTAACTTCTAAAAAGAAACAAGAAACAATACCTTAATAGATTTCTCGCAATTCTTTACTTTGAGTTTAGTTTTCCTTAATTCCTGTTTATTGTAAAGTTTGATTGTTCAATTTTGACGACCGAATGGCGTAGTAGTTTGTGTAACAGACTGCTATGATTCCCGCTAAAGTCAAACATTGGTGTGCATGAACATTTTAGTTTGATCTGGTCTGGGTGTTTCTATGTATAATAAATATGTATTTACAAAAAAAAGTAAATATGTATTTATGTATATCAGTTGTCTAGTACCCATAGTACAAGCTCTGCTTAGTTTGGGACTAGATGGCGTTGTGCGAATGTGGTACAATATTATTATTATTATTATATTATTAATTCTCTGTTCGGTTTGTGAAAAGCCTTCACAGGTATTCAAAGACATGAAGAATCCTGCGGTGGACAGAGCTACAGCTTTGCTGTAGTGCCCCCCCCCCGCCCCCCCCCCTTCCCAAGACGTATCAAGCGAAGCGCAATGGCACTAACTACCTTTTCTCGAAGCGCTCCGTCGTTTTTTTTGAACCCTCATAACTTGGCTTTGGATCATACCAGATAAACAAAATTCTAGGGATATTATGTCAACAGTGGACTTATTAAACGTAGAACGTTAAATTCAATGGCTCTTATACTTTAGATTTTATTAATATCTAATAAGCCCCGATTTCGTCAAGAGTCACTAATGATCATTAAAATTCTAAGGTTAGGTACATAAGGTCATAGTAAGCTAAAATTTGGTATGTAAGCTGGTATTAGTACACAAACAAGAAAAAATTAAAAAAAATGGACCTACCCCCCCTAACGCCTTATACCAAGGGATGAAAATTTGTGTGAGACTTCCGTAAATTTTGATGTTACGAGTAGAGGTCTGAAAATTGGTATAATAGGGACTCCTTGTTATAAATAATAAAATAAATAATTCAGGATTTTTAGTAAATAACCCCCCACGCCTAATCTGTGATTGATGATGAAGCAAATATAGAGAAGCGCGAGCTTGCCCCGATACACCCTAAAAAAAGAAAGATGAAATGAAAAAAATAAAAAAAAATGTCATAAGCAACTTACATTTTATTCACAAATTTATTCTCTGTTTATTACTTTTCTTTTCTACAATGGTTCTTGTAGTAACAAATTAGGTATGTAGGTACTATTTTGGATTTAGTGATATTTTGTATAATGGTTTTTTTGCGTTACTTTAAGGAGTGGAACAAGGAATTAGAAAAATCAGCTCAACGATGGGCTGATCAGTGTGTAAAACACGGAGATGCAGATTTGCAAGACAGTTGTAGAGATTTGGGTGAGTCAAATATTATACGTTTTTAAACTAATATTTATCAAGCATTTCGAACTATTACTTATATTCTCAATCTATCGTAGGAGGTTGGGCATGGATGAAGAAAAAGTACATTGTGCAATATTTTTGGTAAGGTTTTGGGGAATTAGACCACCTCAATACAACATAGTGTGAGGCTAAGTCACAAGATTTCTCCCGGAATTTAGTACAGTTGATGTTTGGAATTCATGGACATCGCTTCCCGAACAGCAACTGTACTAAATAACAAAACAAGTAGTAACTGTACAGAAGTATCAATCTGTCAGGTACTCGTATCAGTCTGGTTATATTTTATTTGTTAAGTTTTATTTGCCACAGGGATCTGTCTCAACGACTGGCATTTTATTAAACGTTCTAGATGTTTATGTGGTTTCGTTTCAGGCAATGTACCCGTGGGCCAAAATATCGCTACAGTGCAAGGAGACTCACCAGGTTTAACTCCGTTAGCTCTGGTAGATGTGTGGTATATGGAATTACTGAAAATTGATTCGTCAGTGATATCTTGCTTCGTGCCGTAAGTATCAATCAATCTTCTTCGTTTTTTATAATACTCGAATATAAACTCATGTTAAGTAAACAGAGTCCAGCTATCTACATTTGTTTGCATCAGGCTTGAAATTGCGAGATTCCTCTACAACAATAGATTAAGGTTATCAAGCAGGTACTGTGCGTCTAACTTAATCCCTTCTTTTATGATGTCAGAAATATAATAAGTGCATGTTTTAAAAATGAATCAAGACCAGGCTTAAATACAGATCTAAAGATTCAAACAATTGAATGATGATTGATTGATTGAATGATTCAAGAATCGTTATTCATTTGACTTCTAAATAATTTTTTTTTCTCTTGTATATCATATATGTATATATATATATATATAATAATAATATAATATTCTACCACATACACACAACGCCATCTAGTCCCAAACTAAGCAGAGCTTGTACTATGGGTACTAGACAACTGATATAAATACATAAATACTTTTTTTTTTGTAAATACATACATATTATACATAGAAACACCCAGATCAAATCAAACATCAAATGTTCATGCACACAAATGTTTGACTTGAGCGGGAATCGAACCCGCGACCTTTGGAATAGCAGTCCGTTACACAAACCACTAATGAAATAATGAAATAATGTTGAAATATTTTATTTTAGAACGATTATGATAGGAACCTGCTATGATAACCGTCAGTTGTCTATTAATTGCAGATCATCAGCGAATGGGGAATTACATTACGATTATTTCACCCAGCTAATATGGGAACAGACAACAGAGGTCGGATGTGGAGGTGTAAAATTCAAAGTAAAAACCATATATTATTATTTGTACTGTTTACAAGGCAAACAATATTTTTCTTTATTACAGTTCATTATATGATTACATACTGGTACTTATTAAAATTTGTTCCGGATAACTTGTCACTCATTGACAGGTGCATTTACCCTACTAAATGAATCGATTGAAATTAATTGTTTTATAACATATCACATACATGTTACACATTTACTTATCTTTTTTTTAATAATGTGGTTTTTGAGCTATGTTTCTAAGTATTATATAATATACAATAATTTACATAATAATTATATAACTTAGGATTTGACGATTTCAATTTAAAAAAATATCGTCGATATATTTCTTGTGGCTTTGACTATACTACAGTAAATAAACTTAAACACCTGGGTATTCAAAAGGGAACTTTTTGTATGAAATTCAACGGAATAGAGAAACTCCTCTTTTTGAGTTATAAATAAGTGTAGAATGTTAAAATTTGAATTTTAGGACCGTTTGGATGACACAAAGTATAGAACTATATATAGACTAGTATGTAATTTTTCGCCTGCTGGTAACCGTCGAAATAAAACCGTGTACTCGTGTGGAACACCCTGCTCTGGTTGTCCCGACGGAGTTTGTGATCATCATTACACAGCATTATGTGGTTAGTGTCAATACAATACAAGTGCCGAATACATTGTTTTTTATTTTAACGCCCTTGGTTATGTTTCAGAGCATACGCCTGCAGCAAATGACCATGCCACAAAGCAGAATTATGACGAAGTTATCTCTACTAAACCAGACTTAATATTAGATGTCTCAACTAAGAGTATTTCAGTCATGACCGATCCAATATTTGATGGAATAACATTCTCTACTCCAGATCAGCTTTCTGAAAATGATTCGTTAATGTTTACCTATTTCCCTCATTTGCCTGATCATAAAATGATTAGGGAACGTATTACATCATTTGCCAACGAAGTGACTCGTAGTGACGCCTTACTAGATGACTTTATTGAGTTGCTTAAAAAGAAATTGAGCAGCGACTCGCTTATTAAAAATTTCCTTTTAACCACACTACCACAAAGCACCGAGATATCAGATATTTTAAATGACGAAGGTGTGGCAGCATTCATTAACAAAGTCTATAGTAAAAAAGAACTTCCCACTACACTGAAAACAACTCCCAAAGATTATGTCAATTCAACGCTGCTGGTGGATTTAATTGAAGCTGTAATTTTTAGGAGTAACGGTATTGAAATTAATATTTTTTTTATATAGTGTCTGTATTACAAAGTGTTTGCAATTGCAATAAGGAGGCAGCATTGTGTATTGTATTGTTTCTCATATCGGCTTTTGTTTTAACTGTTTTAGATAAAATGGCTAGTACTGAAATCTACCAACAGGAATCTCAGACGATACCTATAGTAAAGCCAATTAAAGTTCAAGCTGAACTAGCAGAAGTAAAGCAAAATCGAGACTTTACGGGTCATTATTTTTTTCCGGAAGATGACGATGAAAGTAATAAAGGACCCTCGGAATCATATTATGATAATACAGATTTAGCTCAAGCTGACGTAGAAATGGAAATTGATTATCTGAAAATGAGTTCGATCACAAGAGATTTTTTGGATGATATTTTTGAATCTGATACGTCCACAGAAAGTACGACTACATTGAATACCCACTCACCGGATAAAATACCGCTATACAAAAATGGATACAGATTCATGAAAAAGTTTTTAAAAAGCATAGAAAATAAAGCTGATTCATAACGTGATAAAAAAATCAAGATAAAATAAGTCGCTTCATCTTTTTACAATACCTACATGTACTCGTAACTGTTGAACTGAAGCCCAACTTCCGATCGGTTATTTTTTTCCATATCTGTATAATATAGCTACTGTTTTATTATTACAGAAACACACAGAAATTATAATAGTCATATAAGAAGTGCATATAGTCAGGACTTGAAGAGAAGACGGAGGAATGCACGTCTTACCAGAAGTAATTGTATAGAAATCCAATGTACTCATAGGCCTTGTAATTTAGAAAATACCAAGAGATTTTCAAAGAATAATAATAAAAAGTATCTCAGTTATAGGGTATTGCTCAAAAAAATTGCTGTTGACTTGAGAAATTTACAGTTAAATCAATTGTTTCCTTGTTCGTTCAATAAAACGGGTAAAGCTTTTCTTAGACATTTGTCACTATTTTTTGGATTCATATTGTTGATTTTTATTAAATATTAAAACAGTAATTAGAGATGGTATTTCCTTTTATTAGTATCGTAAAGTTTGTAAATGTATCTATAAAATTAAAAGCAATGTAAAACAAAATGAACAAAATGAAATTGTTCTGTAACTACTTGAAGAATTACAGATACATTTGTTGGCATTGCGCGATTCAGCTTCGTTGGATTTCATCATTTTATTCAAAACTAAATAGTACAGGTCAGCGTAAGATATAAGACTTGAGGCTTCTTTTAGTGACACGCTGTTTTGCCTTTTGATCCTTAATTTTTTGTCACAAATGCAACCACGAGAATCGGACGGGTTGAAATTATTCGTACGTGAATTTAAAAAATCTTTATGGATAGTAGATGAATGAGTTTTATTTTTTTGTTCAGAATTTCGCCTATGTACCTTAAGACTACGTTTCTCGCAATAGTCTTCATCTTCATTCTTAGCTGCCCCTTCAGCGCCATTTTCTTTACTATCACTTGACGTGACGGGAGGCCCTTTGTTCCTGTCCAAAAAATCACGAGTACATGTAGAGGTTCTAGTACAACCCTCTACATATCCAGGGGGTGTTCTAGATCCAACATCGATTATTACGATTGGTTTACCATCTGCGGCTACGCCTGTAAATACAGTCCATGTACATGTCAATTTACGAGTACATTGTTTTTTACGTTGAAATGGAGTGTTAGCTGTATATACTGAGCTAGTCGTTGCGTCACTTTGTTTAGATGGCTCTTTTGTTGTAGCTTTTGTAGTAGCTTTCGTTGTAGCTTTCGTTGTAGCTTTTGTTGTAGCTTTTGTTGTAGCTTTTGTTGTAGCTTTTGTTGTAGCTTTTGTTGTAACTGTTGCTTTTAGTTTAGCTTTCGTCGTTGCTTTTGTTGTAGTTTTTTTGTCTGCCTTTGGTTTAGCTTTCGTCGTTGCTTTACCTTTTGATTTATCTTTTGCTTTATCTTTATTATCTGACTTTGGTTTGGATTTATTTTTTCTTCTAGGATCGAAATCCATGTAATTATCGCTTAATTTTCGTAGATACATTAACTCGTCAAACGACAAATATTTTTCCGTTATTTTCTCTTCCTCACTAATTTCCTTACCATTGTCATCATCAGAATAATCTGTTTTTATGGTTATTGCTTCCGTGACAAGAGGCCTAATAATTGGTTGCACATTTGTCCTTGTTTTTCTTTTATGTAGTGTTGTATACTTCAATGATTTTAATTCGAATGGGTTTTCATAGTTCATGACACTAAACTTCCAAAAAGGCCTATCGGCATCACTTTCCCCTTGACGTTTTTGTCTGAAACTGGGATCAATGGAACGGTAAAAATAGTCACGATCTTGTTCATTATATTTAAAACGTTTCATGTCAGTATTTATATGTTCATTTAATCTACCAGTTGTTATTTTTTCATGGCTTATTTTGTGTTGTTCATTTACGTTAGAGTCGTAATATTGTTCAGGATCTTGAATTAATGTAGAAAATTCTACCGGTGGATGACGGTTGCCACTGCGGAGCATATTTGGCATGTGTTTACAACACTGGCTTACATCTCTCGAACAACTGCAATCTGTTGTCAAAAGAGGTGGACACATACTGGGACATGTTAAGGGACATTTTGTAGTTGGTGGACATAACGTGCTAGGAACAATTGGGTTTGTAAATGCTTGAAATCCGGTAGATCTTTGACAACATTCATTTTGTCCTCTTGTACAGTGAAGATTATCGCAACATGATTCACATTGTGGTCTATGACGAGTACATTGTGGATGTAGATTATGTTTTCTGTAATTAGGACTGGAAATCAGATAAACTGGGTTAGGTGTGTAGTCGTGTCTCGGATTATATTGGTCGTTATTGCCTTGAAAATAGTGTGTTGTAAAGATCGGTATAGGCAGTGGTTCCTCCAGCCCGTGATACAAGCGTGAGTGACCTTGTTCTGTTTGATAAAGATACTCGTCGTCTTTCATATTTTTCGTCATGTTCTGAATCAGACTTTTCCTCATATTAAACTTGCGTAATAGTGGTCGTCTTATTGTATCTATAACAGAAATATCGTTTACTAAATTTCGATTTCTCATTAAAATTCACTTATGCATTCACTTTGCTTTGTCTAGCGAGAATGTTATAAAAAGTACATTAAATAAATAACTAACTTATTCAGGTACACTAACTGATATAACAACTAAATAAACTGTCATTTCAGTGATCAAACTATGTGATAAGACTTCGAAATAGAATGACAGTTTATATAAGGGAATACATAAGCAAACATTACTTTTTAATATAAATCAATCATTGATACGAATATTAATGAAGCCCACCATGAGTATTATTTGCAGAAACGTGTCTTATTTTTTGATTTCTTTGTTTCTTTCTTTTGTGGTTTCTTTCTTTATAGATATTTTGAATGGGATCAATTTCTTGATTTACTGAGTCATTTGATAAATTGAGTATTCTGAGTAAACTGCTCACCGGGTACGTCTCAGTTGATTTATTGGCTGTAATTGTAATGTAAATTTAAGAGCGTTTTTAAAGAATTTTTTAATTCATCAGCGAAATTCGTGCGATATTCGGGTATGTTTCACTTGTTTCGGGGCCCCCACCTGTGACACTATAGCCTCAGAGAAAACCTGTGTATAGCAATTCTTCAAATCAAATCAAATCATTTTATTTGCATAAAATAAAATGATTTGATTTGATGCTTGGGTGCGCTGTAATATAACCTCCTAAAGGTGTGCAAATATTTAGACATAGGTAGTTAAAATATTGTTATTTAAATTTGCAACATGACAAATACAATTTGAAGAATATATTTATAACATAATTTATCTCAATGTCTGAGAATTAATAATGTCAAGTGTAATATAAATGTCATGAAGTTCTTTTGTTGCTTATCACCGAGTAATTGAGGTATCGAACCAAGTCCACTTAGGAGTCATCCATAAATTACGTCACACGAATTTCAATGTTTTATGACTCCACACACAGCTAGTCACATTTATGAGACTCCCCCCTAATGTGACATCACATATTTTGCAATTTCTTTTTCTAGAAATTATTAAAACTAACTTTGGAACCGCTATTTTTTAGCAGTATTAATTAAATTTCGAGATAAATATAAAATCAACATCATATGAAAAATTTAGAAAATTGAAAAAGACAAAAAGTAATTAATTGTATTACTGTATTCTGATACTTAGATATATTGAGTTGACAAACGTGACATCACAATTCTTTGCAACCCTCCCACCCCTTGTCATACAATGTCACACTTCACCAACCCTCCCCTTAACCTGTGACGTAATTTATGGATGGCCCCTTATCCACTTGATATTTGGTGCACACAAAGGCTGTCAATCCACTTTTGACTTTTGAGTTGCAGTGGTCCATGAGCAATGGTGGTTACTTACCATCAGGTGCCCCAACTGCTTGTTTGCCCCCCATTCCATATAAAAATATAATAAGACAGAATTGTATCAAATAGCTGATGTTATGCTGATGAATAGTTGAAAACCTAATTTAAAAACGTGTCTGCTCAGCAATTCGAAAACTAAACAGTGTCGATGTCGGAGGTGGGGTCACATTTACTTTCTATATTACTATTAACATGAAAAATACGTATTTAGTGCAAATAATAGAGATGTGTCTCTAATAAAGCAGAATTAAGAATGGGAAAGATTATGACGACAAAAGCGATTTCAAACGAATAGGTAGTTCAAATTAATCCAAAGGCCGGCTTTTAAAATAGTCTAAACATTGCGGTGTCAGATAGATTGATTTGAACACCTCTAGTACTTTACAAATAAGCATTTACTTTTCAACAAGGTTACAAAAAAGAAGGAGGAGAAGATAAATGCAGAAAATAAACATGATCTAAGTGCTTATAACATTCTAAGAAGGTGAAAGCTATTTTGAAATAAAAATGTATAATTATGTCCTGATAAACTAGTCAAATTGATCACTGCTTATTAAAAGCTGACTTTTCGTGAAATTTACTGTTTTATTACAGCAGAACTACTAGTATATTGCAAAATATGTATGTGTATGATAATTATTAAAAGTTGTAAAATTACTTATTTCGGCATCATCATAATTACATAGCCCTTGAAACTCATTATCAGGTATCAGATTGACATTATTTTTACATTGTGTCCGTGCATATCCAATAGCATAGACGGGTTTTCCTTCAATATTGCCTTTAGGAGCAAAGTTACACACAAGTCTAACCATAGTCATTTTTCTTTCCCGAGCCTGGAACGTTGAGGTATTAAAGATAATCAGTTTGTTTCATTTGAAAATATTTGATGTCTAAGTTCTAAGAGTCAGATATTTACATAAAATTTTACTTTGCCACATCCAACAAACTCTGTTTCGGCCCATATCAGTTGTGTGAAGTAGTTTGTTATGTAATCTCGGGATCTGTAACAATAAATTAATTTTCTGTGATTTCTAGATGTACAAATTGACAGTAGATTTTTATATGCATTATTTCTAGAATTTTATTTGGGGGAAACGAGTAGGCGGGTCAGCTGATGGAATTTGACTACCATAGAAATCGTAATAGTTACGATTTCAGTGGTGACTACCGACGCCCACGGACACACATTGGAAAGAACAGAAACGTTCAATGTTGCTAAATACGTCTAGAAGTAGTAATACGGCCGTCCCAGATTATTATAGCTGAACTAACTAAATACTAATGTTTGACTGTACTTTGCAGGCGGGTTTACTATGTTGTGAAAGTCTGTAATTTTGTCAGTTTGAGTTCATTGAACTATTGCATCATGCTTAAGCTGTACGCAAGAACTTAAAGATGTTCAATTAGACATCATTCATATTATAAGACCAATTTTAATAGTTCTTGGTACATACATACTGGTTATAATAGGTGACATTTCCGACATAATCCAGTATTTGCATGAACCACATCTCAACAAAACTTTTAACGTTGAGCCCTGGCGACAGACCAACAACGCTTGCAATATTTTGTCCAACTTTAACATTCTCTGAAACACAAAAAGAAAAATTAACTTTTGTGTTAACTTGTTGAGAAATAACGATTTGAGAATTCGAGAATAGAATAAAGTTCCCTGCCTTCTTTGGAATTACATTCATTTTTTTTAAAAGCATGCAACGGGTGCCACGATTATTAGTTAATTGCTGTAATTGTGTAGGAGGGCCAAAAGATCAAGGGTCTACCAATCACAGTGGTATATTACATAGGTTATGAACTTCCTCAATCAACAATATTATTGATTGGTGTGGTGAAACAAACAATCCAGCAAATACTGTTTAGCTTAATTATATTATAGTAATGATTACAACATGACTTGCCTAAATCTCTACAAGTGTCTTCTCTGTCTGGATGTAGGAATGGGTCGCATTGATCTGCCCAACGCTGAGCAAATCTAGCCAATTCATTCGACCAATGCTGAAAATGATAAATATCACATCAACAGCCGGCCTTGTTGGTCTAGTGGTTAGTGACCCTGACTGCTAAGCCGGAGGTCGTGGGTTCGATTCCCACCCAGGTCAAATGATTGTGTGATGAGCACGATGATTTGTTCTGTGTCTGAGTGTACTTTATCTATAATATGTATGTATTTAGAAATTTTTAAGTATGTTTATCAGCAGTCTGGTTGCCATAATATAGACTCTGTCTAATTTGGAATCAAACGACCGAGTGTGAGGTGAGTGAAGTTATTATTATTATTATACCCGTTATTATATATATTATAACCCGCGTGACAGCGTGGTCGCTGTCACGCGGGTTGGTATATATTTTGTGTCAAGTTATCCTTCTCTTTACAGTGCTGTTGTCCTCCGTGGTTTGCTTCCTCGAGTCGGCTCTTACGACACCCACGGGACGAATAGGGGTCGTGACACTCCGTATTCTTAATCTGTACCACACGGATAGTATGTACTCATACATATAAAGTAATATTAGCTAAAAAATAACGTTGAAATAGATACTTCGGCAAAACCGTGCGCGATTTTTTTAAATAATTTACTTTACTTTAACCCGAATTATCCCCTTGAAAACCAGCCAGATCTTTTTTTTTAATATGGAGTTATTTTGCCGTGCACGGCCCAACCAATTAGTTTAAAAAACAATGCATGATTGTTGAAGTAACTTTTAAATGGATTTTTCATTAATGGATTGTGTAATTCCAAAATAAAACATTTATGCGATTTAAAATATTTAACGTAACACGTTTCATCTGCTCTTATGAAAATCGAAGCTGATAATAATTCTGAAAATCGAAACGGTCATAACTTTTAAACGAATAGTATTTTTTTGTTTTTGCCCACTAGAGTTACGTCCTTTCAGTGACTGTAATAAGTATTCAATTTATTTGTACACTCGATATATTGACTGTGCACAGTGACTCTCTTGGAATCATTTTATAAATCGTACAAATAGCTCTCTTCTGCAGTACAAAAATAGTATTAATATAGGCAGCACTGTCCCACAATAAAGTACCAACATTACATATGAAAATAACTAAAATAAACTATTTCAGTTAGAATCACCGTCATCGACTGCATTTCAAATTATAATAAATTTAGATTTTTCTAACGTAAAGTTAACTTTAGAAAGATGGCTTTTTTCGGGATGAAAAATACAATGAACATCAATGTGTATGTATTGGTTGAGCAGTTAAGACGCTAAACTCTAACGAATTGACGGACGGACCGACTGACAGAGTAACTTTCTCAACTATACTAAGGTTTTAGATATATTTTTACGTAATTAAATTGTATAAAGTCTGTTGTACATACGACTTTATTCATGTTAGCCGCTTGTGGAAGAATTGTAGATTGGCCCATAGCAACGAAATTTCTTCTTTCATTGATTTTGTAGACGAGGTCTTGAATTTCTCTACTTGAAAGTAGTGCTGTGTTGTCATATAAATGGCATGCCGCACTGGGATCTGGTAACTAATATCCAAAAATCATACATTATGATGACGTCACTAAATGAATATTAGATTGGTCCACT